CAGTTTGCTGTGGAAGACATTGACGAACCTGCAAAGTATGTGTGTGTGTGTGAGTGTGTGAGTGAGTGAGTGAGTGAGTGAGTGAGTGAGTGAGTGAGTGAGTGAGTGAGTGAGTGAGTGAGTGAGTGAGTGTGTGTGTGTGTGTGTCATGGAGGGACTTTTCACTTGCCCCTGCACCCTTCTTAAAGAAAAAAAAGGTCCTCCAGCCCAAATCAGATTAAACTTCTAATCTTCGTCACGGGAAATCTCAACCCTATAGTCCCCTTCACTTTCCGAAGGGGACGTCAAGGGCAAACGCAAAACAGCGCTTTCGGTACATTGGGACCAACAAGTCTTCAAAACTAAACTACAAAATATCGTTTGTCAGTGTTTCTCACTGTAGTTTTCTTATCTAATGCCCCTAATGGCAAGCCGTCATCATTTTGGCAGTATTGAATCATATCTGTTCCACCCCCTCTCTGAGTAAAGTTTTGTGAAATTACAACACCTAAGGGCTTGAGTCTGCATCAAACAGATCATCTAACACCATTTGAAAAGCTTCCGCCCCACACCTTTGCGCCACTTTTCCCTACTTCGAGTCATTTGCCATTTGGAACGAGAATAGACACTTTCCTTTAGACATGTTCGGATGACATATTGTTACTTTTCTTAAAGCATAATCTTAACCTATTCAGTAAGGTTTAAGGACATATCATGATAGTGGAAGACACTAGCATTGACAGTTAGATAAAGGTTTCTCTGTGTGTGTTTAATGTGTTTCTAGGTGTGAATGGGAGAGAGAGTGAGATTGTGCACAGAGAAACATAGATACAAAGAAACAGCCTTCGGTCAAGGACACATGCTTATATACACGACTACATCATACACACACATTTCTTTACACGCACTGTAGTAACCCAAGTTTGTGTTATTTATTTCCTCAACAGCATGCAGCACATATGCTAGTTTTCCGCCTCCCACTGAGCAGAAAAACACTTGCTAATATACCAATGGTAATATTCAGAGCTGTATCTGACCCTCCTCCCACTCTACTGTACATCTTAACCCTCCCCCTTCTGCAACACACACACACACACACACACACACACACACACACACACACACACACACACACACACCACACACACACACACACACACACACACACACACACACAACACACACACACACACACACACAACACACACACACACACACACACACACACACACACACACACACACACACACACACACACACACACACACACACACACACACACACACACACACACACACACACACACACACACACACACACACACCACACACACACACACACACCACACACACACACACACACACACACACACACACACACACACACACACACACACACACACACACACACACACACCGCCTGGTAGTCACAATAACGCTAATGTGATGACATTTTAAAGAGGCAGATCGTGCCGCTCCTGATTTCTCTGCGTTTCACAGATGAATACAGTCCTGAGTGTTTGGTCCTTCTGCAGCAGAGCTACGGTAAATGCAGTTCCATGACAACAACAGAAGTATAGGCAGGCGGTGAGTGAAAGCCCCATTTGCACGTCAATTTTGAGATGTGTATAAAGAAGAGGGCTTGAGACAAGGAAATATACATTGTTACAAGACATTACAACACTAACAAGCCTGCAGCTAGTGTTCGTGAGCAAAAACTGACACTAAAACCACAACCAACAATTGCAATATTCCAAATCTTACAATATGACATTTCCTACATTGCACCTTTCTAGAAGCACATAGAAGACCAAGAAAAAAAGTGTAATCCCTGCTGCCTGGACAGCAACACATACCCTGAATACAGTATTAAAAAAACCTGCATATACTACATTCTTTTCATTTTCAAATGTTGTCTACAGATATTAAGTGTCTGCATAAGATATTTGTTAAAATATATATATATTTGTGGAATGTCAACAAACACTGGCCATGCGATCACCATTGATGGTTTGACTCATTGACACTTTGCCTGTCATTCCTTCTCTTTCTCCTGTCATGTGCTGTCATTTAAAAAATATAACAGTCAAATTATCCGAAACAAGGTTTTCTAAGCACTGATTTTTGAAAAACATCTAAGCCCAAGAGAGTTGAGGAATGAAAATCAGATTGGTCGTTCAATCTGAAGGCCACCTCGAGTGCACACACACAATCTATGACCTGTGTGTTTAGCAGAGAAATACACAGACTGAAATCAGTAAGCAAGACCATAAGACTGATGGTATTTTCTGGCTCTCTCTGCATTTCTAGAAAGCCAAGGCCCACCCAAACACGTCAACACAGCCCCTCGCTGACAGAGTGTCAGCTCAACGGCTGGCATGACGCTCACACACACACAAACACAAACACACAGGGTACATCCAGTCCAACCTTGAATAACACACTCTCCCCATGGCAGTGTGCCAGTCTGCTTGTGAGCATGTGTGGTCTCACCATGTGTATGACAAAAGAGACTTTATATTTGATTACAGATTACAAAGCTCAGAGGAATTGAGGGATTTCCAGAGGGGTCTGCATCAGGCACTTACCTGTGGTGGAGTGCAGACTCTCCAAGCTCCAATAGCGAGACAGGACCCCCCTCAGAGTTCCACCCAAGCTACCTCCGCCTCCACCCATACATCCACCCACCCCGAGCCCTGCGTCCAACATGCTGTCCACCACCCCGGCTGTGGGGCTCCCACCGTCCGAGTCGGAGCCCGGAGACAGCCCCAAGCTGCCGCTGCTGCCACAGCTGCCCCCGGGCAGGGGCACGCCCCCTCCAGAGCCCTGCTGGGTCCGCATCCCGATCAGGGTGGACGACAACAAGGGGGGAGACGGCAATGGGCAGTGAAGAAGTAAGTGGAAATGAAGAAGAGGCAAGACAGGCTGAGCAGGTGGTTTATCCCCAGGGTGAGAGCGCAGAGGAGGAAGAGGAGGCGGAGGATATCTGCGGCACTATACGCTGAGGTAAGCTTCAGCTGTCAACTTGCTGCTTCCTCCTCCCATTCACAGCCGGCTGTAGCAGCGCTGCTCTCCTCCACCTCTCTGCTCTGGATCGCTCTCATGCAACAACAGCCTCTCTCTCTCTCGCTCTCTCTCTCCAGGCTGACATCAGTGGGGGTCCTTCAGGGGGGTTCCTGCAGCGTAAACGGCTCACTAATGGTGCAGTATCCACTAAGGTGGAGATGAAAACAGCCAGCCCTCTCCCTCGCTCACTCCTCCCCCCTTTCCTCCACCCTCCCGAACACACAACAACAAACACACACACACACACACACACACACACACACACACACACACACACACACTATACACACACTGCACAGTCTCTATTGGTTTTCAATTCTACAGTGAGTTACAGAGCAGATTTTCAGATTATGTTTCTGGGTATTTTCATCCATATTGGTTCTGGGACTTTCATGATTGACGAATATATTAATAAATGTATTATGTAAATGCTGTTTAACAAGCTGAATCTACAGGATCATATATATAATGATGATTAAACAGATAAATGACAGCAGCCATTTGAAGCAAATGGTGTGACACACTCAGAGGCTTCACCAACACATTTTTTAAACTAAGTATATTAGCCTTCAATCAGCTTCAAGAGGCGGTACAATGAAATATTGGCATTTTATTTTAATTATGCTTATCAAGAATGTCTGTCTCTATCCCAATACACGGGAGGTTTAATCCGTTTGTATAAACTCTGTTAGTTTGGAAAATGCACAGAACCTGGACCTACTTTCTTGCAAAGAAATACCATTGACAGTATATTCTGCATGATCCCCAATTCTTGACAAATAAAATATATATATATATCTGCAGAGATCAACACCACAATGTGCAATGGAAAAAATATGTTTCATTTTGTAATGTGGGTGAACCAACCTTTACATTTTACATATTGTGTTTATGACACAAAAAACAGAATATGTATTTTGAAAAGGGCTCAGGTAAATCAAAGGATATCAACATTTTCCCTCCTTATTCTATAAGGATATATATATATAATATGCGGTCCAAAGCCAGCGTTGCACATGAAGCCTTGTCATAGTGGAGTCACGCTCAATGATCGGCTAAATCTAAAGCTATGCACCCGAGGCTAACAGTGCTGACCTAACGGTGGAATGTCTGCATTTTTGTAGATCAAGCCTTCATTCCTACGGGTGGTATTAGATTCCAGACTAATGAAACCACCTTAAAAGAGGATTACATGAGAAAAAAAGAGATATATCAGTGTGGAGATTAGTTCTGCTCTGCTGGGGTTCACAATGATAATGCATAGCACTGCGTAGAAAGATTAAAGTGTCTCTGTGTGTGCGCTCATGCCCACACTGCACCCGTCTCATGATTCAGAAGACAATTGAAATAAGTCCGCTTAATCTAATTATACTGACGACATCTGCAGCACGACCACTGACCTCACTTTGAGATCTGCTGCCTAGTCACATTTGGCAAGATATATCCTACTACAAGTGATATATTTAGTAGTTGTTGCCATAAATATTTATGTCGCATGATTTCCAGTAATATGGTCTAAAATTATGTTGTCTTTCTTCTCTCTGGTCAAAAGTTGGGTATGAAGAAAGGAGAATCTGATGGCATATTAGTATTGATTATATGCATCTGTATGGTAACTGATAAATGTTACAGTGAGAGCTTACTGCAGCCACCAGGTGGAATAATGAACTGCACCGGTTCTGTGCCTCAACTACAAAACATTGTACTGCCATATGACACTAAGAACAGCACATACATTATGGACAGTTATCTATAAACAAGCAATACAATGAATATTTAAATGAGCTCATGAATCAGCAATACTATCAGGGGTTCCAACATCCTTTTGGGGAGATAATAAGGTAACCAAAATGTCACATGGTTCATATGTTCCTACCGCCAGTGTATTCACCAACCCAAGGTGAATCTGGAGAGGAAGTGTTAAATGCAGAACACTTAGTCAGAGAGGGTACTTACAGAAGTAGGAGATGTGTCTTCTCCAGCCGAGGCAGTCCAGACCGATGGGGGTGCTCTGAGAGAAGCAGTGGGATTTCAGGGGCATCCCACGGAAAGCCTCAATGGGACCCAAGCTCACTCCAGCATCAGTCTGTGGGAATAACAGAGGACTATTTTCAAATCACTGACATCACCAACATTTATTTACCTGCGAGGCGGACATGAGCCCGTAAAAAAAAAACGATCAAGAAATTGCAGAAAAGGAAGAAAAGAATACAAGAAAAGGCATGCGTGAATGTGCAGAAGAGTGGAAATGTAGGAGGCCATGCCTGAAGCAGATAGTAAAGTGACGATAGGCTTCATATCCACGATACAAAGCCATCAGACAGGAGCAGACTGTCCAGGAGGAACGGAAACTCAGAAACAGGAGAAGAGAGGAGTGTAACAAAGACTTCCAAGGTTCGGATCTTTGCTTCGGCGGCTGGAGGCGCTGTGGCCCCTTCTTACTTTGTCCATGTCTTCAGACAGCAGCGTGTGGAGCTGGCCCAGACTCCCCCGGATGGCTCTGGCCAGTTTGCGTTTGTTTCTCTTTTGCTCTTCGATCCAGTGGTCGTCGAGAAACCTTCTCCTTCGCTGCTGGCCACCTCCGTCACGGACCACGCCCACCCAGCAGCCTGTCCTCAGCCCACTGAGAACCACAGAGGGCGTCCCCTCGCTCTTCCCCTCGCTCTTCACCTCGCTCTTCACCTCGCTCTTCACCTCCAACAGCCTTCTTGTTCTGGACAGGCTGCGAGGGCGACCACTGTTTGGTGTTCCCTTTTAAGTGCACAGTTTACTGGTTAGTCACATTCACCTTTTCAACTGCTGCTTATATCTCTAGATTTTTGAGAAACGAACCAAAATCGTATTGCATTGTGTCGTCATTTGGCAGAGTAAACAATGAAATTAAATGTATTAATGAAAAATGCTGTTCAAATATGCAGTTTTATTCTCCTTCACCTCCATTTTCTTCATGTGTTTCCATAGATATTATGTGTGCCATCCAGACTCCAAAATATCCGGTTTCATAAGGTTCTACAATTTTAACCAAATAAAATATCCAGCTCCAAATTACAAGGAAAAAGAAAGTTGGTGACCCAAGCCCATAACCATCGACTGGGATGAGCCTAAACATGGCTATGGTAAATGAGATTGAATTAAAGTGGGAGGATGCCACAAGGTGGGGCTAGTCCTCCAGTTTTCCTACTGGCTTTGTATCACAGGACTATTGTAGGAACTGGCAGGGCGGTGGGCCCGATGGTGACCGTGTAACTGACAGTATGGAAATCTACCGCACTGCTGGGGGCTGAGGGGGGGAAAAAAATAGTTGACTCTGCTGTTTCTCTCCTCCTCTTCACTTAGATCGTGGAGAGCCACAAAGAACGACTTGTTCTCTGTCCCCAACCCAGATACTAACAGATCTACTAGATACACTGGCAACCACCCTGAGACCCACACACACTAACACCATCGTCTGCAGAGTAAGAGATTAACTGGTGTTGCTCCATTTTTCTATTCATTCCAAGCCAGAGTTAGTGAGGGTGCGTTGGAGGAGGGGATGAAACACTTTTCCCAGGGAGCTGGAACCCTACTGGCATCTTAATTGAGACCTTAACAAGGACCGGTTCATCTATACAGTTTTAAAGTGACGTTAACATTTTCAAAAGGAAGGGCATTTACACATACACACAATTGAATCTCAGACAAACCTTGGTACTTAAGGTTCAAGGTTCTTTATTGTCAAACTAACATAGCTACAGGGTAATTATGTCATTGAAAATCTTAGGTCACAGGCTTCTCCAACAATGCAACACAATATATTAAGATTATATAAGATTTCTGTAAAAAGATGTCACACATTTCTTTTCAAATGCATGACAAACAGACTTTTCTTACCTCTAATTCGTTGATAGAGCCAATGGAGCTGATTTGTGACTGGCTGTCTATTCTGCCTTCGGCTGCATCCACAGGGCTGAGGCTGACCCCCACAGGGCTAGCTGACGGTTTTAGGGTCTTAGGTCTCTCGGGGGGGTCTGTTAATCCCTCCACGCTGACCGACTGGCTCAGAAGGAAAGGACAGGCAGAACTGGCCCTCGCTGAGTGAGAGTAGCAAAAGATTTTACGCTGAGCTGTCGGCCTGGGACTGTTGGGTTTGGGGCTCATTGGCCGTACGGGTCCTTTAGGCAAACTCTCACTGACCCCTGGGTGGGACTTGGTCCAGGCTGGTGAAATCTGCTGAGTAAGGGTGTATAGTGAGGAGCTTAAAGGTGAGACAGGGCTGGTGTTGATTGGCTGTGAGACTGCTGAGTCATCTAGAAAGAGAGGAAGGCCCGACTCAGTGGCAGGTTCACCATTAGGTGATAACTTCCTTCTCTGGCCTTCAGATTTACAGCCATGGGGGGTTTCATTTCCACTCGCTTCCCAGGGAACTTCCCGCTTAGAGATGGGATCAGTATGGCGGCGGGCTCCGGGGGATGTGGGAGACCCTGGACTGCTGAGCCTGTCCAGGAGTGGAGAAGACGTTATGTCTTCACAGCTCTGCCCAGAAGCTGTGCTGGTACATTCCCCCTCTGGCACTGAAATGGCTCTTTTCAGCAGCTCAGCCTCCCTGGCCTTTTTTAGCCTCCTCGAGGTTTGTTTGGCTAAACCAGAATCCACATCAGTGCCCACAGTGGCCTGCTCCTCATTCTCCTTATCCAAAGAACGGGACTCAAACAGGCTGGAGAGAGACTTGTGTGCTTGTGCAAAGCGCATGCGGATGTTTAAACTGTCATTGCTCTTGCTCCTCTTGTACGTCTGCCCATTGGGGGCCTGGGCAAGACTGAGGAGGGGGTTGTCTGGGCTCGGTCCTCCGTTTCCCTCCCCATTACTCCCCTGGCCGGCCAGCTCTTGTACATGGCATACATGGCGTACATGGCGAGTTTGGGGAGAAGAGGGGAAAAAGCCAGAGTCCTCTTCTTCCATCTCATAATGCATTGAGGATAGTGACTGGTGGACTGTTTGGTTAAGCACGTTGCCTTTCACAAAAACCTCATCGTCTGAGTTCTCCCTATGTGGCCCCTGCTCAGACAGAATGCCCTCCCCTCCGCAATCAGATGACTCCGGGGTTATCTCCTCACCTGTTGCACCTTTTGAGCCCTTAGACTTCCTAAAAGAAGGCATTTTTGCAAATACAGAAAACTTCGAGCTTTTATTTCCTGCCTGGCTGCCTTTTGATTTGCTCCTCTTAGTCATTTTGTCATGGTTGGTATTTCTGTCTAAAGGAGAAACGGGATCCTCAAACTCATCGCAGGTGCTGCTCGCTGAGGTGCAAGACACAGCATCATAGGCAGAAGTCTTAGGTCCGCCACTACCATGCAGAAAAGATGTTGCTGGGCTCACGTCAGGTTCTGATTCAGCAGAAGTAAAAGATTCTTCTTCGAGTTCAGGCTGGTGTTGGGGACTGGATATGACCCCTGAAAGGTAAGCCCTAACTTCCTCTGTAGGCCTCATGACCTCATATTCTTCCTTTGTTTCGATTTTAAAGTCATCCTCTGTTGTGCCACAATATTCCAGTGATCGCTCAGCCTCCAGAATTGGCTCTAAACTGCTGACGGGAAGCAGGTTATGGCCGACATCAGGGTGTGTGTACCTCACCCTGACCTCCTGCTGTGGAGCTGACAATGTGACCTGTGTGTGGTCTCTAAACCCCTCAGCCGGTGTATATTCCTTTAATGGTTCGGATAAGCTGCCTTTTCCTCTGTTAGATAAGCTGTGATGGCTAAATGCACTGTCCATTAATAGGCTGTCTGAACTTGACCCTAAGGGTTCAAGACCTTCATGTCTTTCGGCGTTCGAGCACTTGAACCCTAGACTTATGACAGTATTGCCCTCATCACTCTTCTCTGGTTTAGTTCCATCTGCATGAGCCAGTCTTGAATGGCTGTGGATAGAAATGTTTTTCCCTAGCACAGATTCAGTCTCTTCACTACTGCGATTGCTTCTGTAGTCCAGAGAAGACTGGAACACCTCAAAATGTTCCTGGGTCTTGGCTACATTTTCGAAAGGGTTATTGGTCGCATTCATTGACGGTTCAACTACAGGACAAATGATTCTCTCATTACTTTTGTCGTGGGCTCCCCGTGAGAAACAGACTGAACCCTCCCCTCTTCCGACCCCTTTTGTACTGGCCTCAGTGTTATTGTTGGAGTCTGAGAGGAGAGAAAAATAGGCGTTCAGGCTATCGGGAGGTTCAGGGATCTTACGCAGCTGCTGAACTTGCTTACAATGACTAGAAAGTGTGCTGACAGTAGTTTTTATGTTTGTTAGGGAATTGACCCGGTGGTGTTCTCTGCTAATATCATGAGGGGACTCAGTAGCCACAGGACAGGTTGATGTTTTTCCTAAAGTAAAGCAGGCTTCTGGATCACTGACAGTTGCTTTTGGATCTAGTCTTTGCTCTGTTGTGCCAAACTGTGGAAGATGGACACTGCCTACAACAATTTGTTCATGATAAGCGTGACTACCCTCCACCTTGTGCTCCTTGTTTTGCTGGAGAAGCGAGCAGGGTGATCCTTCCCTCCTTCTCTCTCCTCCAAAGTTCTCTGACAACAGACGGGAGGATTCCTCTGCTCCTTGGTTGCCAGAACAAAACGGCAGATTCTCTGAGAATGTTTGATGAGGCAGACGTTCATCAGAATCCTGACAAATGTAGGATGGGATTTGAGTTGAGTCAGCTCCTGGTTCTACAGAGCCCGACTGTGACTTCTCCAGAAGCTTGTTCGCAGATTTGAGCTGCCTATGAGAGGGTATTTCTATTGTAAATACCCCCTGATCCAAGAGATTAGGGATCAAACCCTGGGTTCGACCTGGTTGTTTTTGATCTGTTTGGACAGGTGAAGCTCCAGTAGAAGCCTTTGGGACCGAGGTTAATTCAGCAGAACAGGTGTCCAATGTAAAAGAGTTTGAGGTCTCTGCAGAAAATGTGATGGATGAACATATTTCATTTACTGTCCCAGGTGGTGCACACCCAAACTGCCTCGCCTGAAGGCAGACACCCGACACCTTTGCCTTATCCTGAGGCTTTGTTTCGCTATTACAAACCTGAGGGCGGATATCTGCCGGTCTCTCCTCACACACAGTTCGTGAACAGCAAACATCCACATTGTGTGCCAATATATTAACGGTATTGATTGTGTCTGTGAGCTTTTCTAAGGCACTATTTTTCTTTGTGCCATGTGCTTCTGTGATGTTTGGACTTGCACCAACAATTCCTGTACTTAACTGAGAGTCTGTCTCTGGTTTAGAGTGTGCCGGAGTATCTTTCAGATGTGTAAAATGTGTATCAGCTATGCATGTTATGTCATTACAATTACTCTCTCTTCTGTTATAGGTTGCATTATCATTTGTGCCCACACTCTTACACAAGTCCCCTTCGTCTTTGTGCGCTTTAAGAGCCTGCACGTCTTTGTCTTCATTAATTACACCGTGCTGTTCTACATGTTCTCTGTGTCTGTGAGGTCTATCATTACAGTCACTACTGCATCTACTTAAATGTGTATTTTTCTCTACAGAGTAAGCGCTGAGTAGTTCAATATTCTCTACTTCCTGAACACTACAGACTTCTAATCTTTCTCTTTCTGTCTGTAACCGTGTGTTGTGTTCATGTGTGATCTGCTGTGGTTGTATCTCCACAACCCTATCCTCCGTGGTATCTATGTGTGTTGTGCATGTTTCTGTGGATTCACTCAGTCTGTTGCTTTCTTCAGGTTGTGCATGCAACTTCACTTCCTGAGTGTCTGGTGGACTATTTACCTTCTTGTCAAAGGTGTCTGTGTTGTGTTGGCTTTGTACATGTAAACTGTATGGCTCCGTGCTGTCCTTGACTTGAGTTGCGGTGCAAACGGCCTGTAAAGTGGACTGTTCCTGTTGCAAGTCTAGTTCCTCTGTATACGGATGACACAGGTCTGAAGGTCTGAGCTTCGTGGGAATATTAGGTTCCACGTGGTTCTCTGGGCTTTTCCTCCTGCTACATCTAAATCGTCCAACATAAGTCTCTGTCTGTGCATCTCTGCGTTCCTCTTTTGCCGTCACCACCTCTCTCCGTCTGGCTTTTCTCTGCCCAGTGCGGAAGGTGCCGACTGTTGCTCTCCGACTAAGGCATGCACCCTCCAGTCCCAGCAGGGCATCCACAGAGTCCTCCCCATCCGGACTCAAATCTGACAGGGTGTCGCTGTGCCGTGAGCGGGAGTCACAATACTCATCCGATGTGTTCCCCCCTCCTGCGCCTCTATTGCACCATTCCTGGGAGTCAGCACCCAAATCCCCCTCCTCTAAGCCTAATCCTTCAGAGGGGTGGGGGGAGTGTTCGAGGGCTTCCTGGGGCTGTGGAGGCAGAAAAAAAGAGGGTGAGATAGAAATCAGCACAGGAGCAACAGGTGGTTTAGCACGAGGCTATAAGAATCTTAAAGCCGATCCTCAAACAGCAACAGGCTGTCTTTTAGAAGGCAATATGTAAACTATTGATTTTAATACTAAGAGTCAGTCAACCAGAACAGCAGGTCAACAAATCCTAAAGCCAGGTACACATCGGACTGAAGTCATGTTGTGTCACATTTAGTCTTAGCTATTTCTATTAAGTCACAATCTATTAAAGCAGGTAACATGTTAATAACTTCAGTTTCAATTGGTAAAGCAAATCAAATGTGTTAAAGTCTAACTAAAACTTGCATTCCCACACGAAAATAAGTTGTATATGATGATACTTTAGCTATCGTGCATATGGACCGATATGAGGAAACAGCAGCCAATATCCTCTGAGTGACTGTTTCCTATGACATCTGTTGACTAGAGCCAGAGTTGCAACAAGACACACTGTCAAGTTCTGTGCAGCATTAATAACTGGAGAATGTCATATTGCATAGCCTGTGGGCGTCAATACAAGATTTCCACATCAACAACTAGCAGCATTAGTTAACACCAAGTTATTTTCCACTTCTAAACTGCTAGCGTTAGCCTCCATTCCCATTAGACTTTCTGCCACTACATGTTTTTGTGATTCAAACCATAGGATAACATTCATATTTTGATGATAACAATAAAACCATATAGATACGCAAGTAAAGAAATAAGATATACAACATTTCTTGGTAGAAACTTGTTCCATGGACACTGTTTCCTAAAAGAAACAATCACAAATGTTCTGCATATTGTTGTTGCTAAGAGCTGGAGTTTACAGTAGGTCACAGGCAACAGGTTGTTCTCCCTCTTAAAAGCAGTGTGCGCACACACACATAATCCATGTCAACATTTTACTTACTCTCCAGCGCTTCAGTGCATCAGCTGTGTGCAGCACCAAGGCAAAAAGGCGAGCGGCAAACCAGCTCAGCACAGCTCCCATGGCGTCCCACACACACACACTCACACACATAACCACAGAGTTCATACACTCAGCCGGAGAGTCTCCTCTTCCCTGATTCTACATGTCCGTGGCTTCCCTCTGCCTTTGTCTCTGTGTTTATCTTCTGTGGCCGTCAACCGTGCTCGCTAAGAGCTCCATGTCTTAAGTTACAGATCCTCCCCTTTCTTTATCCACCTGCGCTCACTGGTCACAACACAAAGCCAGATAACGGGGAAGAAGGTAGGAAGAAGAAGAAGCAGAACTTTTCACTGCATGTTTAAGATGTGTTCCTTCTGCCGCAGACAGGACATAATCCAGACTCAAAACAGCAGGTACACAGCGAGCTCTGTGTCTCTATAACAAGGGAAGACATTAAGAAAGCCCTGCTATAAATACAGAGCTGCGACTCCAGGTAGAGCAGAGTGCATGACAACTCCAGGCGAGGGCACGTAACCTTAATGCAAGCTAACTCAAATCACATTAGGAAGAACATGGCACCAGCCCATCAAACTGCCATTCTTGATCATACAGTGTTTAGGATGACATTCAATCTCTATAGTCCTACTCTAACCATATAACGTTCTCTTTATGGTCTACATTTTTTAATGGCAAATACTGATAACTAATTATGGAAAATGAGCGCAAATTATAAGATCAATCACTGTCAAAAGTCACTTCAGATTAAGAGGACTCACAACACTACATTCATAAATTCTTCAGGATAATGAAAAATACACTCACATAGGGCGGGGCTAAACCAGGACAACTGCAGTGATTGGTTTGTGCAGACGTGCTCTGTTTCCCGATAGACCGGTGTTATTTCCTGCTAATGATTTAGAGTTGCGTGTCTGAAAGAAGCTTAAAGGCTTAGCATAGCACCTTTTTTTAGCAGATAGTGAGGCGGCTGGTTGAGGCACAGCACTATGACTCTTTAGTTATCCAAGCCTGCCTATTGGTCCATGTTATTATCACCTGCAGGAGACGGGGCCTGCACTTCTGACCAAGCAACTTTCATTAGAATAAAATATTTAGATTCCATCCACTGTATTTCTGTACTTTGCCATTTTTTTATTAAACAAGAATGGCAATATTTAAAACTTACTTACAAATAGGACAATTATTGATTCATCTTTACGTCATTAAAAAAAGATTGAGCTGCATCTGTTGTTTCAGGACAACCAGGGACAAATCAAATATGTCATATTCGAGGCATCGCTGTGGAACAATTTCTTGACAAACAACAATTGTATTAAATGTACCCAGCTCTTCTGTGCAGCGTCTCAGTATAGTGCAATTTCACCATACCGGGTAGTTTTAAAACTGCAGTGTTGAACTTGAAGATGAACTGCCTGTGACCTGAGGGGGTTGCTTAAGTCCCAGACAGAGTAAAGACAACACACACACACACCTGAGCTTTTAAAGTAAACCCTCCTACACACACACACTCTCAGGTCATGGAGTTATGAGCCAGAACCCCAAACACAGAGGAAAAGTGAACTGGAATACGTCTACCACTTATTTTGAAGTATTAAAAAGTCAAATATCCGATTGTAATCACCAAATCAGTGAACGACAAGTCTAGTTTAAGGAACACACAGTCAGAAAACTATCTCTTGATTGGGGTTGTAGAACAATAATATTATATATATTGGTTTATGAGACCGTCCTCCAAAGAATTATCACAACACTAGTATGTTTATGTTTGACAGATGAAGACCTCTAGTGGACACTGGCATAATGACTGTTGTCTGTCAGGAGGACTTCCTGACTGGCACACCTTGGCTTGGACAATAATGCAGACTAACTTTACTCCTACTATAACAACACTTGCTATAAAAACACACAAACAATACCTGTCTTTAGAGGCATCTAGATTGTCCTCTCCCTCGTCTCTCTCTCTGCATCCTAAGGCTGCACAGAGCGTTCCTCCTGCAGACGCCACCCACACCCAGCCTGGAGGGAATGTGGCTGTGGGTGCTGCAGTCACGCTGATGTGTCAGGGCCCTGGAGACAGCTGGCTATTGTGCCGGCAGGGGTCCTCTGAGTTCAAACATCACGCAAATACACACCGTTCAGATGAACACACAGCAACGCGGCTTATCGTTCTCTGCTCCAGGACACAGTATTCTTGATTCTGCTGTGGCCCAGCCTTTACCTTACCTCACCTGGAATCAAAACTACACCGGTCCAGATGCAAAAAAAGACACCTCAAACTCATCTGATGGCTTCTTTGTGTAACAGTGAGTGACATCTGGCAGAATAAATTATTCATGCTGTCCTAAGAAAGCCACAGATTTATACAAAGCTTACCTTTAGTGTCTTGCAGTATAGAATCTGTTTTTACTCCTCGTCCCTTTTCGCGTTACTCTCCTTCCGTCTCACCTTAAACTTCCACTGCTCCCTCCATCACTGCCCCTCTTCCCTCTTCCCTCTGCCCTCCTCTGAGGTCATCCCTAAATTGTCGCCTATTGTCTCGCATCTCAGCAGAGAGGAGGATGGAAAGAGAAACCTGATCTCTTTTCTGGAGGCTACTTGGAGTAACGTAGGACAGGGAGGGGAGGTGGTGGGAGTCCCTGAATGTGAAACCTCAATGTACACAGATTATTTTATAGTTAATTCAAATACTTTTGGAGTTTAAAACTGCAATGCTGATAAGGTAATGGAAAATGAAAGTCTTTATAGAAAAGCTTGTCCATGCTTTTATTTTCAGTAGACTAGACTACTGCAGTAGTGTATTCACAGGGCTGACAAAAAAATCCATCAGAGAGCTGCAGCACGTGTCCTCACTAACACTAAATGAGTGGATCACATCAGTCCGGTTCTGAAATCTTTACATTGGCTTCCAGTCGGCCAAAGAATTGATTTTAAAGTACTATTGCTAGTTTTTAAATCATTACTTGGTTTAGGACCAAAGTATATTGTTGAACTCCTACACAATTACGAGCCATCAAGGTGCCTCAGGTCTTCTGGGACGGGTCTGCTATCGGTTCCGAGAGTAAGAACAAAACATGGAGAGGCAGCATTTAGCTATTATGCCCCGACACTCTGGAACAAACTACCCAAATCATGCACGTCCGCAGAAACACTTACCATTTTTAAATCGAGACTAAAAACATATCTCTTTGCCGCTGCTTTTAATTGAGCTGCTCTTATTCGAACTACAGTATGCCTTTTAAACATGTATTGTATACCTGTGGTGTTTATTTTTATTATTTTATTATGTTTGCTTTGTAATGCCTGTTGTAAAATGCCATTATATAATGTGTTTTTACTGTATCTATTCATAAAAAGTCTTTTAATTTGTTTTGTAAAGCACTTTGAATTGTCGTGTACAGAAAAGTGCTATATAAATAAACTTGCCTTGCCTTGCCTTGCCTTTATCTAAGACCCCAGGAACAGCACTTAGCTTAGCTGTGAGGTCATTTTGGCAAAGTGACCAAAGCAGATGACATAACACACTTTGGCCCAGAATTACATTTTTCCGTACACAACCATTTCATGAGCAAGTACAAGGTTAAGTATCAGAATGCTGACCCAAGCAGGAGACAGAGTGCAGAAGGGTGCACTGCAGTATGGGCTCTGACACAAGAAAGAGACTTCTAATACTGAGAGGCAGGCTTTGAATTGGACTGAATGGGCCGTCATGTTTGGATAACTCATCCTGTCTCTGCAGAATTAAGACTTTGGACACTAAGACTTTTTCTGCTGTTTTGGCAATGTTCTCAAGCACAACGATGTCAACGGAAAAAATGCCAGGACCATCGACTGGTAGGGGTCCAAGGTCATATACTCATCTCATTAAAGTGCTTTAATATTGAGTATTTGCAATCCATGTGTTTTTAATGAAGCATAATAGGGCGCTTTTGACTTTATCCATTGAGCAAGTTTCCCGCAGATGGACAAGCTGAACTGAATAAAAAATAACCTCCTTGGCGACGGTAATGATTTAGGGGGAATTCTGGGTGTTAAGTGTCATTAAGAGCTT